ACTCTGAGTAACAAAGAAGTACAGAGGAACATTTTAAGGCAGTGATGCTTCCATAGCATTCTCCTGCTCTCTCCCCTAATAGTCTTCCTGCCTAACCCATGTTTCTGTGCACTGATTATCAGCACACAGAAGACAGCATTCAAGAAACTGGGTTTCATTGGTATTCAAGAGATTCTTCCAGGATTTCCAAAAACAACCTGAGAAGGTAGGAAGCACCAAAGAAAGTGAAATCATCATCATCATCAAGAGGAAAACTCTTTTTGTTGTTAAGTAAAGTACTCTAAATGTATTGCCCTTTCCAACAAACCATGTTAATTCTTTGTTGTTCTGTCATTTTTGGTGAACCCATTTGGGGTTTTCTTGGCAAAGATACCAGAGTGCTTTGCCATTTCCTTCTCCAGTTTATTTTACAGATAAGGAAACTGAAGCAGGCAGGTGAATTTGCCCAGGGTCAAAGACATGGAATCACTCATTCCTACTCACTTCTATAAAACAAAGCCCTTCACTCAGAATGAATGCAAAGAGTAGTAATGTTTTTGATGAGAAACCAATGAACTGATATTCTGGTTTTTATAAAATAGCATAATTAAAGCAGCAGCATATATAGAGGACACGGGGTCAACTAAGAAGTCAAAAATCAAGGGATCTGGGACCAAGTCCTGCTCTTGATATATATACTAGCAGTGTGACTGAGAGCAATTCACTTGACCTTTCAGTGACCAACACAGCTCTTTAAGAGTTTAAGTTTAAGGGACAGCTAGGTTGCCCAGTGGACAGAGCACCAGCCCTGGAGTCAGGGGAACCTGATTTCAAATCCAGCCTCAGACACTTAGTAGCTATGTGAACCCTAAGCAAGTCACTTAACCCCAATCGCCTTTTAAAAAAAATCCATATATAAGTTTAAGACTATAAATTGAGAAGAAATTGCCAATCTGCGCTGGTATAGTTTCCAAGCTACTGTTCCCTACATTTAAGAAATCACAAGTCTAGACCCCTACACTTTTACTAGAAAATATAAAGGGTTAGATACTGGATATTGAGTTTACAAAAGACCAGTTCACGCACCATAAGAAAGATGTTCTCGGGGTCACTTGGAAGATCCCTGAAGACCACCAAATATTTCTAGACCCCACTTTCAGAACCACTAATATAGGGAAAAGTTAATTTAACAACAGAATTTTTTTCCTTGATACCTAGGTGCTTTGGAATACTGAAAACAAACAAACAGACATATTTAGTGGATTTTTTACCTGTTTCCAAGTGTTTTGTTAGGCACATTACAGATACAACTGAAGTCTGCCACTAGAGAACATTCTCTCTTCTGAAAGTGAGTGAACTATTCAGTTGCCTTGGGTAGATTTCCTGTTTCAGATGGACCATCTGGATCTAAATAAAGGTACCCTACTTTTAACATGGGCCTGCTCACCATCTGGCCACCTAGAGGAGGCAATTGCCTCAGGTACATGAATACTTTGCCTACTTCTAAGTAAGCATGTCCCCACATAGCATGTTAAGGCAAAGGAAACCAGAAGGGAAGTGAATAAGCATTTATTAAATGACTACTGTGTGCCAGGCACTGTGCTAATAAGCACTTTACAAATATTATCATTTTATCCTCATGACAACCCTGGGAGGTAAGTGCTATTATTATCCCCATTTTACAGTTGAGGATACTGAGGCAAAATAGTTACATGAGGTGCCTAGAATCACACTGCTAGTAAGTGTCTGAGGTTAGATTTGAACTTAGGTCTTCCTGACTCCAGGCTCACTGTGCCTAGCTACATAAGGCAATATACAATACACAATACAATACACCTTGCAAGATTAGTGCATATCTACTTGGGGAAAAAATTGTCTTTCATGTAGGTATGTGGTCTATCTGAAAGAACTACTTTGCTTGAAGATGAAAATATTTTAATTCTAAGAGAAATTATTTCACTTATCATTATTCAGAAATGGTAGGTTGGCTCTTCCAGGAAGTCAAGTAGATTGCCTAAAAGAGGTGATTTTTCACCTCCTCAAGTAAGTGAATATTATACTCAAAAGTAGAAGCGCATGTTCTAAACTTAGTGCTTTATGGGATGGAAACTATCTCAACTTCTCCTTTCAGATCTGCAGGGTATAATAATATTGTCTCTTTTTATCAAATAGGGGATCGGACCACCAATCGGCCAATGGGGGAGGGTGGGATGGGGGTAAGCTTAAAAAGGGGAATCTAATTTTATTATCCTCACTCTACTTAGTTCCACAGGTTTATATCACCAGAGGTCTCTGGGCAGAAGATTTTACTAATGTGTATTAAGACTTTAAATATATAATAATATCATATTTTACAAGTATTTTAAATTATTTGCATTTAAGTGCCAATTTGGTTTTAGTTAGCTGATTAGTGCAAAAGTTTGGGATAATTATAGAACAATCTATCATCTGTATCTATATCCTTTTAGATAAATGATATTTTTAGAATGCCAATTTGCTTCCATTCATAATGATAAAATTGTAAAAATGAAAACTACCTACAGCTGAAATAATATTGGTCTGTTAAAAAAACCGACTAGTAACCATAGTAATAAAAGTGTGTGTGTGTGTGTGTGTGTGTGTGTGTGTGTGTGTGTGGTATTGACAACATAGTTGGAGGAATTGGGGTGGGGGGATTTGATTTTCTATGCCCTCCATGTACATATCGAAGAAATGATATCTACTATAGCATCAGGGTAGGAGGATGAAGAACAGTAACAATTTTCATTAACATACTACTTAGAATTAGAGTTGTTTTGGTATTTCTGGAAGCAGAGATAGGACTTGGGGACTCCTGCATTTCCATTGGAGCATAGCTCTGAACCATGTGTACTCAGTAAAACTTTCAACCAAGTTAATTCAGACTTTGAGCAAAGAGGTAAAAGGGAAGTAGAAAGCAAATATGTACAACGCTATACTAGAAACCAGCAGTAGAAAATACAGAAACATTTGACCCTTTAACTGTTATTAGTTGAAAAGCATTTGACTAAAAAAATTATCTGACAAATTATTCCAGGAGAGATTTTAACATTTCATTCTGATGTAAAACAGTTTCTGGGGAATATTTATTTGGTCATAACAGAGCTATTCTGTAGCAATGTATAGCTAGCAAAATTCTGATTTTAAAAGCTTAAATCTTTTAAAGAGAGAGGCAGCATGGTCTAAAGGGCTCGCTTTGAAGTCTGAAAGTCCTGGGTTCAAGTTCTATTTCTGATGCATACCAGCTGTATGAATGCAGGAACTCATTCAATATCTACATGCACCAGGTGATTCTTCAAGATTTATAAACTATAGAAGGAGTTGTATATCATTAAAGGACAACTGTAGTTTCCACACTGGAAGATCCCTTTAATAATGAACTTACTGCCCAGGATCACCCTCCTTCCCAAAATAGTCTTTAAAAAGATATAAATTACCTTGATGCCTTTCCAGCTTCTCCCACCACTACCCCATATGTAATGTGATAAGGGCTGGTTTCTTAAAGAAATACGGTATGCCTTTAAAATCTATTTGAAATATAGGAGATGTTTTACAACTGGAATGCTCCATGCATTTATCATACCGCTTAGCAGGAAAACATGCTCAATATTTCCTTGTTCCTCCATCACAAGGCTTATTATTGAGTGTCTTATTAGGATAAGGGCACTTAGTCATCCTATACAATAAAAACTTCTCTGTACTCCAGATGTTATGACTCAGCCAACCTACTATGTGACAATAGCTTCCCTCTGAAAGCATCTCAGCAGCGTCTTGGGTTTTAAAGCTCCTTTTCAGACCCCCCCCCACTATCTCACTCTACCTCCAAAGTTGTTGATCTTTTATGATTTCCCGTTGGGACATCCACTGACCTACTTAGTCATTTGACTAATTTTCAAAATAAAGTAAATGCTACTGTTAAAAATGGGTCAAGGGAAGAAACAGAGCAAGAGCAGTACATACTCATAACCTCCAAAGATGTAAAAATATAGCTCTACTAATCAAAGAAGCACCAAATGGCCATCTCTGTTAGTGACACCTGAGGATGCTTTCCTCAAGTACTCTAGCTGGCAAGTACTCCAGATGATACCAGCAACTTGTGAACAGTGGCCTTGGAGTTATTACCAGTAAAATCAGCTTCCCTGTGCTAAGGCAGCACCTTGCTTTCAAGCACTATGTTGCACAATACTAGTCACCATCGGTAAAGAAGCACCCAGTTAAATCCCTGCTACTCCTAATCCTCCTATGCTGAACTTTCTGCCATTTGAAAATTGCTTTTAGAAAAGTTTCATCTGCCATCATCTTCCTTCTCTCTCTCTCTCTCTCTCTCTCTCTCTCTCTCTCTCTCTCTCTCTCTCTCTCTCTCTCTCTCTCTCTCTCTCTCTCTCTCTCTCTCTCTCTCTCTCTCTCTCTCTCTCTCTCTCTCTGTGTGTGTGTGTGTGTCTCCCTTTCCCTCTCTCCACTTCTCCTCGCCCATCCCAAGATCAAATTTCAAGAATGGATAGGAATATTGAATACATCGTTCTGAATCCAATGCTAAAACACACTATGTCTATTTTTTCCTGTTTTTTTTAATAGACATGAAAATCTGCTTCTGCTTTCTGCTACTGCTGAAAAATTTACTTCAACGGTCATCTTGGCAGATTTCCAGCGTCATGAGCTAAACTGCACACTTTCCAAAAAACAAACTTGTAAACAAACCCTTTTGCCGGTGGCTACAGAACTTTGGTGACTGGCTAGAGGTGCTTACATGGTAATGGTGTTACAAGGGGCTAGAGAAGCTGGAAGCGATCTCAGTAAAGGAAGAGGCGAGAAACCAGGTATGCTTGCTAGCTTGCTACCCACCCCCACTCCCTTTTTTCCTTCCCCAAGTGCCAAGAAGAGATAGCTGATGTTAGGGGTGATAAAAAAAAAAACAGCAGGGTCTATCTGCCCGGGGTGGGGCAGCTCCGGGGGACCCGCCTCCCTCTTTCTCTCTCTCTCCGTCTCTTCCTGTTTCCCCGTACCTTCTCTCCCCGTGAAGCACGTAGGAGCTGCGGAAGAAGCCCAGCAGCTCATTCTCGATAAAGGCGTTGTAAATGATTTTGAGATTGTAATTCCTCTGCGCCTCCAGGGTCCGGTTGAGCACCACCACGAAGACCTGGTTTTGTGGGTACAGGAAATAACGGGCGACCTGCACCGCCCCGAAGGCGCGATCCTCCGCCACCTGCACCCTCTCCACCACCACCCTGGAGGCATGCAGCACGATATAGCGAGTGGCGTTGAGGCACGCTACCTCCACGTTGACCTCCCCAGAGAAAGTAAAGTTCTCCATGAAGACGGTCAGCATCAGGTTGTAATGCAGGGGTTTCAGGTGACCAGGCAGGCGCAGCTGAGTCCAGGGCTGCCAGCGTCCCTGCTCCTCCTCTTCCGACGGCTCCTTGGGTGCAGGGCTCCCAGGCGCGACGCCCCCGGGAGCCCCCGGCCTCCCGGGCTCCCCTCCAGGCCGGTGGGACGAGCCTGCTACGCTGCTGTTGCTGCTGGTCCGAGCCGGGGCACCCCCAGGAGCGCCATCTGCCTCGGTCCCCGCTGCGGCCGCTGCGGAGCTTGCCCCGCACTCCTCGAAGCGCAAGCTGAGGAGCACTGCGATCATAGTCACCACCAGCAGCGCCAGGATGGACACGGCGAAGCCGAGCACCAGCCGCTTGTGCACGGTGATGTGGCGCTCAGTGGTGCGGGGCCGCACCCCCATCGAGTCCGCCCACTGGTCCGAGAGCCCCCTGCCGCCGGTCCGGAGCGCCGAGTCGTCCTCGATCATCATGGGGCTGAAGGGCACGCTGTTCTTCTCGGCCCCCTCCTTCTTCTTCCTCCTCTTCTTTTTTTTCTTCTTCTTTTTCTTCTCTTCTTCTTGCTCCCGCTCTCCGTCCAGGGCCATCACACGGCCTCCCCCTCCTCGGCTCCCTCGGGCACCTCCTGCGGGCCGGCCGCAGCCGCAGCCTCCGCTGCCACCAGGAGCATAGACATTAGAGGGACACCGGGGGGCCCGGGGCGCACGACTGAAAGGCTGGGGAGCGGGACTCGATCCGGGGCTCACTGACCCCAGGAGCTTTCAGGCGGGGCACGGGCAGGAGCACTCCACAGCGTCCGCGCTCCCGTTCAGTTTCCGCATCTCTCCTTGCACTCTTGGCCCCAAAGGCTCTGGGACAAGCCCAACTTGGAGGAGCTGTTGTGCTCCCTCTCCGGTCCACCCCACCTGGAGCGCGCCCTCTACTTCTCCAGCTGCGCCTCAGTGCCCGCCGCCGCCGCCGGCTGGACGTCCAGGACTCTTCAGCACTTGCTGCCCCCGCCCCTCTTCCACTGGGCTGACTCCCGCATCTTTCACACAGCAGCGCTCTCTAGCCTCCTTTTCCGCGGGAGCTTCCCAGAGCGTCTGCCAGTGACGAAGAACAGGAGAGAAAACAGCCTGCAGAGGGACCGAGGGGGAGTCGGGCTGGGGAAGTTAGAGCTCCCGCGGTCTCCGACTCTACCTCCCGCAGTGGTACTCAGTGCTCCTGGTAGGATGGATCAGCTCGGCGGCGGCGGCAGCAGCAGCAGCAGCAGCAGCACTGGCGGGCAGAACCCGAGCCAAGCACCGCACAGCTTGGGAGGCAAGAAGGGCGCGGGGTGACGGCAGTGCCTGAGAAGGAGTCCCCCTTCTCGCTGTTCTGTTCGTTTTCTTTTCCTTCACCACCTTGGCCTCAGCTAGCAAGCGGCTTGGGCTTGAGGATCGGACAGCTGCTATCTCTGGCTCCGATGTGTCTTCCCTCCAGAGATGGCAAGTGAACAAGAAGTGTCCAGGCAGCCTGCACCTTCAGGTAGGTGATGCTCTGGGTTCCCTTCCAGTATATATCCCCGTGGGGAGAGACAGTGCGTGTGTGTGTGTGTGTGTGTGTGTGTGTGTGTGTGTGTGTGCGCGCGCGCGCGTGCGAGAGTGTGTGTGTGTGTGTGTGTGTGTGTGTGTGTGTGTGCGCATATACACGCGCCCAGACTAGATTGCAAAGGCTACTCAGGCTGCATTCAGTGACTGAAACTCCCTGAGAAAGGCAAAGGAGAGGGAGAAGGGGGGGGGGGGGCTGAGCAGCTGAGACAGGCACAGAGAGATTAGAGAGCTTTTCTCCGCTCTGTCACACAAGACACCCACAGCTCCAGAGGGGGTTGCTGAGCAGCCTGCAAGAAGTACATTGTAAATCTTCAGAGCAACAAGCCCCACTGTCACCCCTCTTCTCCTCCCTTTTCTCGCCCCTACCATGGCTCCGCCTGAAGGAATCGTAGGAGCCCTAGGCGAATATACACACCCCTGTAGCAAAGGGAGAGCAGCCTCTGATGAGATGTGGCATGTGTCAGATTACAGATCACCCTCTCCAGACGATTTCCGGGACGGTATGGAAATTGAAGTAAATTCTACAAATCCTTACTACATTCATTATATTTATACTATATACCTCCAGGCTTGTAATGAGGACTGATGAATGCACTGGTTTTATTTGTGCAAAAACTTTTTAAATTTTATATGACTAGAATTGTCCATTTTGGCTTCTGATCCTCTTCGTCCCTTGTTTAGTCATGAACTCTTCCCCTATCAATAGATCTGAAAGGTAATTTCTTCATTGCTCCTCTGAATGACATGGCCTTTTATATGTAAGGCATATATACATTTGGAGCTTATCTTGCTATATTTGGGGTGGGAGAAAATTTGGAGTGAAAGAAATAAATGCTTGTTAATTGGAAAAAATAATTTTAAGAAGTGGTAATGGTAAGCAAGTTTAGGAGAAAGAACCCTACCTTAGTGTAAAGACCACTAAGATTATTATTCACCCTCTAAATGTTTTTCTAGGTTAGGGAATTAATTAATAACATAATATCAACTATGTGGTCCATAAGGTCATGCTTGCTCTGATCAAGTTAAGAATGGAAGCAATTTTCCAGCTAATTCAGATCTGATCCTGAATTACCCAAGACAGTATAACACTGCCCAATTGTATTGTGGTACTGATAACTGACCATTTCACTTTGCCAGGATTGTTTGTTGTGGCTTTTCCAATTTTAATCCTAAAAAAGTTGCTTAAACCTTCTTAGAAGAGTTATCTCAACAGGAAGTGTTTTCTAGATTGCATATTAGGCAGACTTGGCAGCCGGTGCAGTTAAGCATGTTGAGGAAGACTCTTTACCTGTTTATGAACTGGCTGCATTTATGGGAATTTTTCATTTTAGTGCAGAGGGAATACGAGCATAGAGCACATCAACTCTTTCAGAATTAGTGTGGCAAAAATATGATTAGAACAGTTTCTCAGAAAGCCATCTTCTGAAAGATGACACAAAACACAGGAATCCCCAGACTGAAGAAAAACAAATCCCCATGGGTCCTGAGCCTAAACAGTAGTTTGAAGGATGAAGGTGGGAAGTAATTCCTGTTGGCAGAGCCTTTGAGGTCTTCACATTTAGCTGACATTATGAAAATTATCCCATTTCCAAAAATTATTTCACAGACCTGCCCCAGCAATTTGTTCTTGCTATACTACTTATGTATTCCCATAAGTGCAAAGTTGAAATAGATCACACAGCAAACCAACTACATACAAACTAAACTTCCATTGTCCACCTACCTATAGAATATAGACATCGTATTAATAAAAATAACAATAATAATAACCAACACTTATATAGCATCTTAACCCAGTGCCTGGATTCTACAATTATTATCCCATTTGGTGTGAGGTAGGTAGGTGATATTATTAACCCCATTTGACAGATGAGAAAACTGAGGCAAACAAGTTAAATGACTTGCGCAGCTAGTATCTGAAGCTGGATTTGAATTCAGGTATTCCTGACTATAGGCCTGACACCTGTGCTCTGTCTACTAAGCCATCTAGGTTATTAGTAGTAATAGAAGGCTATTACCCCACCACGGTACCAGCTCCCAAATGGGAGAAATGCCCAATGCCATAGATTCAAAGTATCTATTTAAAGTCTTTAAAATATAATATAAAAGAAGTGGCAGGGTGTTTTAAAGCACATTTTATGTGGGCCGCTAGTAACAGATAAAGGGAAATGCCACATGCTGCTCAAGTTAAATTTTTCTGCTGTTTTTAAGTCACCATGCTCTTGCCATCCATATGTATTTAGTTGTATGTACTCCATGGGAGTTAGTTTCTTTTTCTGTTTCATCATATAAATCAGGATCAGCAAAAGAAACTCCCAGTGTGGCTTTAGTTGTCACTTCCCCCCTCTGGACCTCAGTTTCCTAACCAGTAAAATGGGGAGTGGGGTAGCCAAGATGATCTCTAAAGGGTGACAATTCTATTATTCCACCAAAGTTACAAAGATAGCCTAAAGTATAAACAAATTGTTTTCCTGAACTCTTTCTTTGCCTGTTGTTTTCTATTGTGTGTGTATATATGTATATATATATATATATATATATATATATATACCCGGCGGTAGGTAAACTAGCATATTTAAGCTCTGGATATATAAAGAAAGGCAAAATACAATCCCTGCTCTCAAGGATCTCATGGTTTTAATGAGAGAAACAATGTTCAAACAACTAGGTACCAATTGGATTTGGAGACTGTTGGACTTGGAGGCAGATCTGGGTTTGAATCTCACTTCTGAAATTTACTAGCTGTGTGACTGTGAACAGTTCACTTAACTTTTCTAAACTTCAGTTTCCTCACCTATAAAACAGATATGATCATTCCTATACTACATACTTTACAAGGTTACAGGTAAGGACAGCACTTTATAAATCTCAAAGCACTTTATATGTGCAAGTTATTATAATTATATGAAGCAGACATGAGACAATACTGATACATTTTGAAAAAGAGTTGGATTATATTTTATGCAAGCTACTTACTGTCTCAAGTTAACAAAAAAGTTAGCTTAAAAATACACCAGAACCTCATTGTAACAGTTTTTTTCCTACAGGTTATAGAGGAATCATCCCCTAAAGCATCATAGCTTCCCACAATATTAATCTTTCAGCCAAGTTCTAATTCCACCCCTGAATAACAGTGTCATCAATGTTCTACTGTTTTTATCTCAGTGGACAGATAGAATGCTGAGCCTGGAGTCAGGAAGACCTGAAATCAAATCCAGCCTGAGACCCTTACTAGCTGTGTGACCCTGGGCATGTTACTTAGACTCTGCCTCAATCTGTAAAATGGGAATAATAGGACCTACCTCCCAGAGTTGTTGTAAGGATCAAATGAGATAATAATTATAAAGCACTTAATACTGTTGCCTGGCATATAGTAAGTGCTATATAAATGTTACCTTTTATTCATTCATTCAAAGAATACATAGTTCCATTCCTCTAATATGCTGATGTAATTTTGCAAAAGTATTCGAGCTTTGTGTTAACATTTGTCCTATAAAGACTGATCATGTTTACCCTCAGATGTTAGTAAAAGTAGTAAATTTTCAGGTGTTACCTCTTCTTCTATTAAGATGCAGTACAAGCACTATCTCTTACATAAAGCCTTTCCTATTTGCCCTTCTATAGTGCCTTCCCTCCCATACTACCTTGTATGTATTGTATATATTTATCTTTATTCATTGAATATTTATATTGTATATATTTATTTTGTACTTCATCTTCTCCATTAGAAGTTTTTTGCAAGGAGGGATTGTTTCATTCTTTGTACTAGTATTTTTAGTGCCTGATAAGCTGCCTGACATGTGATAAGGGCTTAATAAATCAACAAATAAATTACTACTGTACTACTTATCTTCAGCATTATAGATCACTTCATCAAATGTATGATGCATTGTTAAACACACTGAATCTGAAGTCAGAACATGAGAGTCCAAATCCAGGCTCCAAACCTTACTACCTGTGTAACATAAGACAGGTCACTTTATTTTTCTGGGTTTCATTTTTCTCATCTGTAAAATGGGAGGGTCAGTCAGACTACATTGATTCTGAGGTCCTTTCCAGCTCTAAGTCCATGGTCCTATTCCAGTAATCAAATCA